ACAAAAATAAACAAACAAAAGAGTGTGGATTTGGAATGACGTGAGATTTGGATCTGGCTTGAGGCTGGGCTCTCCTGGACACGCACCTGTGATCGTGGGCCTGTCAGAATTCCTGGCTCACAGGAAGAAGCCCTGGGAAGCTCTGTTGTTATTGCTCGGTCTGTATCAGCCATTATATGATTAACACTAACAAAGCAGGGGCTGAGTGTGGTGGCTCGTGCCTGTAGTCCCAGTTACTTGAGAGGCCGAGGCAGGAGGATGGCTTGAGGCCAGGAGCACTTGAGTATCTAGCTCAGAGCTTTTTTGTAGAAAAGGTGACTAATTATTACCGGGGGCAGGATTCATTTCATTCCCGTTTCACAGACATGGATGGAAAACTGAGACCTAGAGACCTAAGAGTAATTGCTCAGTCACGAGTCACTATGGTTCACTCACATGTCCTGTGTGTACCTAACACGTGCTGGTGCTGTCCGGCAGCAAAGCAGCCAGGCAGAAATAGGGTCCCACCCATCGGGAACTGGCATTTCAGCAGGGGGATATGCAAGAAGTGGAAAATGTATGACGGGTCCTCAAAAAGTAAAACACAGCTCCCCTATGAGCCAGCAATTCCACTCCTGGGTATCTGCCCAAGAGCACCGAAAACAGAGATTCAAACAGATCCTGTGCACAAATGTTAACAGCAGGGTGATTCACAACAGCCAAAAGGTGGAAACCACCCAAGAGTCCATCAGAGGATGCAGGATAAACACAGTGTGGTCCATCTACACGATGGTCTATGATTCGGTCACAGAAAGGAATGAAGGCCAGGTATGGTGGATCACGCCTGTCATTCCAGCGTTTTGGGATAACCTGTTTTCTGAAGATGGTAGAACTTGGAGTGAACTGCCTTTTGAGGTCTCAGAGCTCATAAGGCAGGGAGGCCAGGTGCGGTGGCTCATACCTATACTCCCAGCACTTTTTGAGACCAAGGCAGGAGGATCCCAGCACTTTTTGAGGCCGAGGCAGGTACAGGTGGAGTTCGAGACCAGCCTGGGCAACATAGCAAGACCCCCATCACTACAAAACATTTTAAAAATTAGCCAGGCATAGGGGTGTACTCCAGAGGCTGACATGGGAGGATCATTTGAGCCTGGGAGGTGGAGGCTGCAGTAACCTGTGATCGTGCCACTGCATTCCACCTGGGCATCTGAGATCCTATCTCTAAAGATATAAAACAAAACAAAGCAAAAAAATCCCAGTTGCAATCATTGATTCGATGCTGTCCTGTGCAATTTCACAGAGAAGCAAAAGCAGGCATCGGCAGGTTTAGCGCCTTGCCCTGAGATCACTCAGTGGTCATGACCCAACAGATTGAACGCTGTCCTCAGCACAAGGCCAGAGGGACTCAAAGCATTCCCCCAAGGCTCCCATCTCCTCCTGCGTCACACGTAGGGTTTGTCCAGAGGCTTCTAAGTTCTGACCTGCCACCATGAGCCCCGCAGCTAGTACGGAGCAAGAAAGCAGGTGGCGAGGACCCTGCCTTGCGGAAAGCCAGGCCAGCAGGGGCCCAGATGGTGGCCAGGCCTGTGGACACTGCCCACTGCATCGCGGCCTGCAACCTCTGCCTGTGGCCTGTGGCCAGACCGCAGGCCACCATTTTTGAACAATGCCTGCGAAGTCCTCCGCTTGCCCCTGTCACATTCCAGCAGGGCAGAGACTAGGGCTCAGACAACAAACTCTGGCAGAGGTCCCTGGCCTCACTGTGCCTCACCCACATCCCACCTGCCCCCTCTCCTGTTGGCTCCACCTGCGAAGTGCGCCTGAGCCAGGACCATCCCCCCCACCCTGTAGCCACCATCCTGAGATAAACCATATCCACTCTGGCCTGAGTTTTTCACCTCTGAACTAATGACCCTAATTCGAGATGTTGCCCTGCTCCTCCACTGTAAGAAAAGTCTGAGCCGGGCTCGGTGGCTCAGCCTGTCATCCGGCGCCTTTGGGAGGCTGAGGTGAGTGGATTGCCTGAGCCCGCGGGTTTGAGACCCGCCTGGGCAGCGAGACCTCACCTCTACAATAAATAAAAAATCAGCCGGGCGTGGTAGCGTGCACCTGTAGTTCCAGCTATTTGGAAGGCTGAGGCAGAAGGATCGCCGGAGCCCAGCAGGTCGAGGCTGCGGTGGCCGGAAGCGGCCACTGCACTCCAGTCTGGGCGATAGTGAGACTTCAACTCAAAAAAAAAAAAAAAAAAGAAATGTCTGTTAAAGCTGATGTTTTTGTTTTCATTTTTCATTTTTTTAGTATAGATGGGGTCTTGCTAGGTTGCTCAGGCTGGTCTCAAACTCCTGGTGGCCTCAAGCAATCCTCCCACCTCACCCTCCCAAAGTGCTGGGATAACAGGGGTGAGCCACTGTGCCCAGCTTGAAAGCTGGTGTTAATTACATCCCTCTGCTCAGAAGCCCCTTCTTTGTTCTCATTTCATACAGAGGACCCCAAAAGTAACCCTCAAAGCCCTCCATTACCTACAGCAGGGGTCCCCCACTCCCGGGCCACAGACTGGGACCGAAGTTCCATGGCCTGTTAGGAACTGGGCCTCACAGCAGAAGGTGAGCAGAAGGCAGAGCTCTGAATGCTGTCAGATCAGTGGAGGCATTCAATTCTCAAAGGCATGTGAACACTATTATGAGCTGTGCATGGGAGGGATCTAGGTTGGGCACTCCTTAAGATAATCTAGTGCTTGATGATCCCACCCCCATCCCATCCATGGAAAAATTGTCTTCTATGAAACTGGTCTCTGATGCCAAAAATATTGGGGACTGCTGACCAGGGCACCTCCTGCTGCATCCCACTTGTTCCTCTCCCCTGTCCCGCTTCCTCATTTCTTCTTGCCAGACAACTCTGCAGATGACTTTGCACCAGTTGTCCTGCATTGTGTATTCTTAGAGCACCTGCTATGTCCCAAGTGCCATGACCCATAACACACTATGCATGTGCTTGTGGCCAGGCGCCTGGAGAACCCCTTCTTCTTACTTATCTTCAGTTGGTTGTCTGGGTCTGACATGTGGGTCAAATCTGGATGTTTATGAAGTGTGCATGCATATGGACACCATTGACTTCAGGCGTGTAAGTGTGGGTCTCTGCTGAGTGGGGTTTGACGCCTGCATGTGGTTCATCTGGAAGAAAGGTTCCTGCAGCGGGTGACCCAGGGCGGATGAGGGTGTGTGTGCAGAGCTTGCCAGAACTGGAGCTGCTCACGCACGCACACATTCAACTTTTATTGAGTGATTGCTGTGTATTGAAAAGCTCGGCAGGGCCCTTCAGGACTTGGTATCTGCCAACTTGCACAGTGTCATCTTCTGAGCATTTTACACAATGATTGAACACCTACTGTCTCTCTGGCTCTGTTGGAGGTGGATCAGTTGGGTCTAGTCCTACCTGCAGGAGCCGCTCAAGCAGGCCCCTTTCTCCCTTCTATGGAGTCTCCAGCCCCCACTTCTGCCCCCTTCTCCCAGTGCGGACAGGAAGGGTTCTGAGACCTGTCCGGATTCCAGTCCCTGGCTGAGGCTGCACATCGAAGGTTTTCTGACTCAGAGGATGAAAGAACAAATGAGTTCACGGCTAGCGAGAGAATCTTGGGAGCGTGAACCCTTCCAAGTCAGAGACTTCAGACTTTCAGTGGGCTGGAGGGGGAGGGGTGCCCTCAGGCTCTGGATGCTTCACAGAGGACCTTTTGGCCTTGGGCTCCAGGATTCCAGAGCGGGAAGAGTAAAGAAGGGAGGGGAGAAAAGAAAGGGAGACAGGGACGCAGACAAAAAGGAAGGACACAGATGCCGGACTTTGGCTCCAGTTGAAGTCCAGGATTTTGGGGGGACTTGAGTTTGGGGGCTTGGCGGGTTGGGTCTGGTGGAATAGACAAGGACTTGGGAAAGTGGGCACTGGAGGATGAAGCAGGAGGTTGGGGAACCCATAGGCAGGTGACGGGAGTCTGAGGGTGGAGGCTCTGGGAGGGTATGTCAGGGGAGGGTTGGGACCCAGGGGGATTGGAAATCTGAGGTCTGGAGTTCCCGCCCTGAGAGAGGCCCGAGGAGGGGGTAAGGCTGGAGGCAGGGTGTGCGGGTGCTGGGGGAGGCGGGAGAGGTTCTCAGAGCGCGGGGATAGTTTCCCCATGCCCCACCTCACCCTCCGGTCCGCCCCTTCTCCTGTCCAACCCCATCCCAATCCAGCCCCATCCCAATCTCACACCTCAAAGGATGACCACGCCCAGGCAACGCCCCCAGACCTGCCACTCTTGCCCTAGGGCACGCAACACTCCCTGGCTCTTGCATATGCCCCCTGCAGACCCGGCCCCTCACTTAGCCTGGCTCCTACCCATCCGCAGATTAGGCCCCGCCCGTCCCTCGCCCCCTCCACGCACCCACTCTTGACCTACACAGCTGCCGCCTCGGTCCAGACCCCGCCCATCGCCCAGGCCCCGCCCCTCTAACCCCCTCCAAGTCTAGGTCCTCTCTTCGTCCGACCACGCCCATCTTCAGACCCTCCCCTTCCCTGCGGAGACCCGTTTCACCCTCAGGCCCAGCTTCACTTCTGGCTCCCCGGACCACCGCCTTACCCCGCACTCCTCCCCTCCACCCAGTCCCGGCTCAGACCGGGCCTCAGCTTGCCACCTGGGCCCCGCCCCCTCCGCCGGCCGTACCCGCCTAAGATCCCGCCCCTTCTCTCCCGGGACCCGCCCCCTCTTCAGACCCTGCTTGTTTCTTCACCCCAGGGCCCGACTCAGTTTCTCGTCATCTTGCCCTGGCCCCGCCCCGCCCCCTCCCACAGGCAGCATCCCCGGTCAACACAGAGACACCCGCTCTTCTGACTCGGCTCCCCGCCTCGCCCCAGGGCCCCGCCCCGGCCCCGCCCCGGCCCCGCCCCTCCGCAGAGCAGGCCCCACCCTCCTCCTCGAGCCCGCCTCTTAGGCCCCGCCCCGAAGCCCCGCCCCCACCCCGGTCCCGGCCCCGGCCCCGCCCCTCCCCAGTCCCGGCCCCGCCCCGTCCCTCGCGTTTCGGTCTACCGGGACGGCGCGCGGCTCCCGTCACTCGAACGCGCGGCGGCGGCGGGAAGATGGCGGAGTCCGGCGGCGGCAGCGGCGGCGCTGGCGGAGGCGGCGCCTTCGGCGCGGGCCCCGGCCCCGAGCGTCCAAACAGGTGAGACCCGGCCCGCAGGATGGGCCCGCACCTGTCCCGGGGCGCGGGAGACCAACGAGGAGTCCTGGGGGTCCTGCGGGGCCTCGCCCGAGGGCTTGCGCCGGGACTGCGGACTTTGCCGGACCGTGGGGTCCTGGCTGGGGGAGGGCCGCGGCTAAATGGGGGCTGGGTCCCCCTGGAACCCCACGGCGTCTGCAGGCCGCCCTAGGGGCCAGAGGATCCTGGGGTCCGAGGGGAAGCCGAGCGGCTCCTGACTGTGCTGGGGCCAGAAGGATGTCACAGGATCTGGGAGACAGGAGACCTGAGAGTGGCTTGGGCGGCTCTGAGGAGGGGGCTGAGGCCTAAGGCTTCCTGTGGGGTGCTGACGGTGCTCCTGGGAACATGTTGAAGGGGCTTGGGAGGGGTGAGGATTGAGAGTCTGTGGGTGGGGGTCTCAAGTGAGCCTGAGAGGGGGAGGCCGAGAGGGTCTGAGGTGTCCCAGGGATCCTGAGGGGCTGGAATGGGTCTTGGGGAGCCTGAGAATGGTGAGAGATCCCAGAGGGTCTATGGAAAACATAGAGCCCCCGCCTCTCAGAGTGCTGGGATTACAGGTGTGAGCCACCGCATCTGTCCTTGGCTAATTTTTTTTTTTTTGAGTTGGAGTCTCACTCTATCACCCAGACTGGAGTGCAGTGGCACGCTCACAGCCACCGCAGCCTCGACCTGCTGGGCTCAGGTGATCCTTCCATCTCAGCCTTCCAAGTAGCTTGGAACTACAGGCACACGCCATCACACCTGGCTAATTTTTTGATTGATTGTAGAGGTGAGGTCTCACCAAGTTACCCATGCTGATCTCCAACCCGTAGGCTCAGACAGTCCTCTCACCTCAGCCTCTCAAACTGCTGGTATTATAGTGAGCCATTGTGCCCGGCCCAGCTAATTTTTTTATTTTTGTCTTCTTTGGGGCTCCTCCCTCTCATCACCATGGGACTCAAGTTCATCCCACACCCCAAGCTCCAGGCTAAAGGATTTTCCTTTGGTCAGAGGAAGGTCCCCTTTCCTTATGGCCAAGTCCTGAGATGAGTTGCTTGAACCCCAGAATTTGCATACAAATTGTGGGTGTCTACATTGCCTCTATGCGTTCTGGGTTCTCAGAAGGGAGGGCACCTGCTTTAGGGAGTATGACCTCTTGCTCTTTTCCCATTGGGCAAGGCCAGACCCTCCCACCCTGGTCCCCTGGAAGGCTACCACTCTTGGCTGGCCAAGGAGGAAATTCCTGGCTCTTTCCCACTCTGAGCTTCCAGGAGCTGATCATTTCAGCCACGATGATAAATGATGAAGTTAGTCCATAACCTTGAGCTGTGGAGTTGGTCCTCATTGCAGGGCTGTAGGAATGTCCTGGTGGTCCCGGTGTGTGAGTTGGGCTTTGGAAGTCAGATGGAAGGAAACAGAGATGGGTTGGGTGAAGGAGGGGTGGCCCGGCCAGGGCACAGAGAAGGCAACCCTGCATGTTCCTGAAGATGAGGAGTGGTACCTTGAAGCTTGGGTGGTGGACAGAGCAAGGCACTGAGTCTGGTCTGCCAGTTGCTATGGGGAACCGAGGAGGTATGCGACCAGTGGGGTGACCAGCCTTCCTGTGTGGGTGTGGGAACCAGCAGGCATCAGAGGATCTGGGGGGACATTCAGAGGGTGGAGTAGCTGGGGCTTGATGACCGACCAGGCGTGAGGTAGCAAGTAAGGGACAGACAGGAGGGACAGCAAACCTCAAGTTCCTGCCTTGGGCCTTGAGGTAGATGACCGGAGGCAAAGGCTCTTTTTTATTTTTATTTTTTAGCCTTGACCTGCTGGGCCTCAGCCTTCCAAGTAACTGAATCTACAGGTGTGTGTTACCATGCCTGGCTAATTTTTAGATTTATTGTAGAGACAAGGACTCGTTAAGTTGCCTCAACTGGTCTCAAACCCCCTGGACTCAGACAATCCTCTTGCCTTCGCCTCCCAAAGTGTGGGATTACAGGTGTGAGCCACCATGTCAGGTATTTTTTTCTTTCATTTTTTTAAACAGCTTTATTGATATGTAATTAATTACACACCGTATGATACACTCATTATTCCTGAACAGCTCATTAAGTTTTAATACATTTATGTATTTATTTAGAGTCGAGGTCTCATTCTGTGGTCCAGGCTGGAGTGCAGTGGCATGATCATGGCTCACTGCAGCCTCAACCTCCTGGGCTCAGGATATCCTTCAGTCTCAGTCTCCCGAGTAGCTGGGACTATAGGCGCACCCTGCCATGCCCAGCTAATTTTTTTTTTTGAGTTAGAGTCTCACTCTGTCACCCAAGCTGGAGTGCAGTGGTACCATCACGGCTACTGCAGCCTCAACCTTCTGGATTCAAGTGATCCTTCTACCTCAGCTTCTTAAGTTGTTGGGACTATCTGCAAGTGTTATCACACCTGGCTAATTTTTCTATTTATTGTAGAGACAAGGTCTTTTTTTTTTTTTTTTTTTTTTTTTGAGTTGGAGTTTCACTCCATTGCCCAGGCTGGAGTGCAGTGGCACATTCCACCATAGCCTCAACTTGCTGGGCTCCATGATCCTTCCGCCTCAGCCTTCCAAGTGGCTGAAACTACAGGTGTGTGCTACCACGCCTGGCTAATTTTTGATTTATTGTAGAGAGGAGGTCTTGCCAACTTGCCCAGGTGGGTCTCGAACCCACGGGCTCAGGCAATCCACTCACCTCGGCCTCCCAAAGTGCTGGGATTACAGGCTGAGCCACTGAACCCAGCCTAGACAAGGTCTTATTATGTTGCTCAGGCTGGTCTTGAACTCTGGTCAGGCAATCTTCTTGCCCCCGCCTCTCAGAGTGCTGGGATTACAGGTGTGAGCCACCGCATCTGTCCTTGGCTAATTTTTTTTTTTTTGAGTTGGAGTCTCTATCACCCAGACTGGAGTGCAGTGGCACGCTCACAGCCACCGCAGCCTCGACCTGCTGGGCTCAGGTGATCCTTTCATCTCAGCCTTCCAAGTAGCTGGAACTACAGGCACACGCCATCACACCTGGCTAATTTTTTGATTGATTGTAGAGGTGAGGTCTCACCAAGTTGCCCATGCTGATCTCGAACCCGTAGGCTCAGACAATCCTCTCACCTCGGCCTCCCAAACTGCTGGTATTATAGTGAGCCACTGTGCCCGGCCCAGCTAATTTTTTTATTTTTGTCAAGATGAAGACTCACTGTGTCACCCAGACTGGTCTCGAACTCCTGGCCTTAAGCAATCCTCTGGCCTTGGCCTCCCAAAGTGCTGGGATTGCAAGTATAAGCCTAGCCCTGGCCCATTTATTGAGTTGTGTGCTCATCACCACAGTCTAGTTTTTAGACTGCTTCCATTACCCCAGAGAGTTCCCCCAAGCTTGTCTGCAATCAACCCCACTCCCGCTGCAGCCCCAGGGACTTCCAGATCTGCTTTCACTCTCTACAGCTTTGTCTTTTCTAGAAATTTTACAAGAATGGAGTCATACAACATGTGGCATTTTGTGTCTGGTTTCTTTCCCTAACATAATGTTTTTGAAGTTCATCTGTGTTGTTGTGAGTATCAGAAGTTAGTTCTCTTTCACTGCGGAGTAAAAATAAACAAACTGTGTCCATCCGTACAGTGTTGTATGGGTGGACACAGTTTGTTTATCCATTTACTGGATGATGGACTGTTGGGTTGTTTCCATTTTGACAACTGCAAATAAAGTTGCCGTGATGAACATCTGGGTATGTGTCTCTGTGTGGACATATACTTTCATCCTCTTGGGTAAACACCTAGGCTGGAATGACTAGGTTGTATAGTAGATGCATGCTGAATGTTTTAAGAAACTGCCAAGCTCTTTTCCAAAGTGGCTGTACCATTTTGCATCTCTGCCAGCAATGTGCAAGAGTTCTAATTGCTTCTCATCTTCACCAGCACTTGGTATGGCCAATTCTTAGTTTTAGCCATTTTTTTTTTTTTTTTTTTTCGAGTTGGAGTCTCACTTGGTCGCCCAGACTGGAGTGCAGTGGCTGCTCCTGGCCACCGCAGCCTCGACCTGCTGGGCTCTGGCTATCCTTCTGCCTCAGCCTTCCAAGTTGCTGGAATTACAGGCCCGCGCTACCACGCCCGGTTGATTTTTTGATTTATTGTAGAGAGGAGGTCTCGCTGCCCGGGCGGGTCTCGAACCCACAGGCTCAGGCAATCCACTCACCTCGGCTTCCCAAAGGCGCGGGATTACAGGCTGAGCCACCGAGCCCAGCTGAAGTAAAATTTATGTAACATAAAATTCACCTATTTCTCTTCTTTCTTTTTTTTTTGAGTCAGATTCTCACTCTGTTGTCCAGGCTGGAGTGCAGTGGCACGCTCATGGCTACCCCAGTGTCGACCTGCTGGGCTCAGGTGATTCTCCCGCCTTAGCCTTCCAAGTAGCTGGAACTACAATCACATGCTACCACACCTGGCTAATTTTTTGACTTATTATAGAGCCGAGGTCTCGCCAAGTTGCCCAGGCTGGTCTTGAACCCCTGGGCTCAGGCAGTTCTCTCACCTCGGCCTCCCAAAGTGCTAGGATTATAAGCGTGAGTCGCTGCACCCAGCCTGAACTGTACACTTAAAATGGGTGAATTTTTGTGGGTTCGAGACCCACCTGGGCAGCAAGACCTCATCTCTACAATAAATCAAAAAATCAGCTGGGCGTGGTAGCACATACCTGTAATTCTGGCTACTTGGAAGGCTGAGGCCAAAGGATTGCCGGAGCCCAGCCGGTCGAGGCTGCGGTGGCCGGGAGCGGCCACTACACTCCAGTCTGGGTGACAGAGTGAGACTCCAACTCAAAAAAAAAAGAAAAGAAAAGAAATGGGTGAATTTGGCCATTTAGTGCACAATAAATAAATAAAATAAAGTGCACAATTTAGTGGCATTTAGTACATACATTCACATTATTGTGCCACCACCACTTCTATCTAGTTACAAAACATTTTCATCCTCCAAAGGGAAACCCTATTCT